AGTGATTATGACCAGCTTGGTAGGCTTTAGCTCACTTTGTGTGTGAGAAAGGACCCCTAGTTTGCATAGTCCATACTTGAATGTTATAGGAAAAATTTCGAGGGCAATGTGATAGGTACCGAGTTAGGTTCAATCATGTTGTAATTTGGCGTTAACCAATCCACGGTATTTATTTGTTGGGAAATGACCTTGTGAGAACCTCCCACATCCATTTGTACATGATCCATTTGTTGGGAAATGACCTTGTGAGAACCTCCCACATCCATTTGTACATGATCCAAAAGGATCACCATTAAATTTGTCATAGATCTTTGGAAAAGTCAAGTGCCACATCAATGTGATAACTTTTATATATATCTATATCAAATTTAATGGTGATTCTTTGAGGACTTACACATAAGTGTGGGAGGGTTTCATAAGATCATTACTCATATTTGTTTACTTAATTATCTATTTTTCTTCTAAACATTTTGACATAAAATTTAGGGTATTTTATCTTTTCACATGGGCATGTCCAACTAAAGTAAGAAAAAATATTTTTGATAAGGAAATGACCAAAACACCCTATAACGTATCTAGTCATTTTATTTTATTTATTTTATTTAGTTTTTGTTGGGCTTTCCCTTGCAAGGTGTTTATGACCAGGGCTGGCCTTGACCTCAATAGGTTTGGCCCAGGCCCAATATGCATTGGGCCAAAATTGGTCCTAGCACTATTAGGTTGAGGTCAGTCCAAGCTAGGCTAGATAAAATAAAAAAGATAATAGAGAAAAAGATGAAGAAAAAGAGGGCTGAACCACACCAGCCTTGTTGTGACCTAGGCCCAAGCTTGGGTCTGGACAGGCCTTGGGCTACATTTTGTAGTCCAGGCCCTAGATTTTTGGGACCAGGCTGACTAGGCTGGGTTGTGCCACTAGATCCATTGCTACCCCTATCATGATCCAAATTTATTTTCAAGTTGATTTGTAGAGAAATTTAAAATTAAAACTGTGTTAGAGGTGACATTGTCATCCGAGCTATCCAACTATCCCTTTAAATCCAGCTGATAATAACAGGGACATATATTTTCTACCTCGGTGCATTGTGGTTTCAATTCATATTTTCCATTATAAAATATGCCTTGACTTCATTATGTGCAAGATGAATTAGTTTTTCAGAAGAGTAACGCTGGTGACTAGCCCTAAGATGCAGCAACTTTTTGGTTTTCTTTGGTCTACGTTAAACGAGTAGCAACGTTGTTTTTAATAATGACCGACCATTATGCTTCCAAGCAATGATATCCCTTAATTATTCGGAGCAACGGCCGTCGTGCCTGAAAATCGCCATCGCTTCTCATTTCTGTCTCCCCTCTGTTCTCTGTTCCCCAATAAAACATGACAAACCCTCTTTCTCGTCACATGTAGTAGCCTTCCTACAAACGTAAGGGGAGAGAGAGAGCGTTATTTAGAGAGGGAACCTACAAAAGGAGAGAGAGAGGAGCACTACTTGAAAAGAGCACATTCTTTAGAGGGAGGAGGGGAGCATTTTTTTTGGGGGAGCGAGAGCGTAAGACAGAGATGAAGCATTCTTTAGAGAGGGAAAGAGATAATTATTGAGAGAGAAGATCATTCCTTAGAGAGTGAAACAAGCTTTCAAGCGGGAGAAACCAGTTTTAAAATCCGCCGTCCAATGCAACACAAACCGGATCTTGTCCCCTAAAAAAACCCGTCCCTCACCCTCTCATCTTCCCTTGAAATACCCTGCAAACTCTCTTCTCATCAACAAATCCAACTCCATTCACTCAAATCTAGAGAGAGAAACTAACTTCATTTCAAGTAAACCCGCCCTTGAATCTGGAGAGAGAAACATGGAGAGCAAGGCTCCAGTTTCCAACCCAAGAGAGAGGCACGGCCCTCGAAGCGTGGTCCCAATTGAGCCAGACACCATTCTCTCTTCTCAATTCCCAGAATCCCTCATAGAGAGAGAAGACCCTTTCTTCTCTTCTAAAGTCTTGAAAAGAGAGCCATCAAAGGCCTTCTCTTCTCGAGTCTACTACCGAGCCCCTGGAACGGTTCCCTTCAATTGGGAAACTCATCCCGGGAAACCCAAAATCTCGCTGGAAAATGACATCGCATGGCCGGAAGATGACATCCTCCCACCACTTAGCCCACCTCCTAAGCTTCAAAGCCTAGAGCTTCGCACGTGCCAGTCCCACCAGCACGTGAAAAAGTCGAGATTGGGGATTTTCAGATTGGGGAAGAGGAGAGTTTGTGATCCTGTTAAGGAGGCATGTGTTGTAAAGGAATTCGAGTCATGGGGATCGTCGAGTCAGTCGGGAAGCTCCGAGTCTTCCCTATTTGGGAGCGAGCCGCATGAAATAGGGCACGTGGGGGGCTTGGAGGAGACTTGTGTAGTGAGAAGCTGTGTTCGTTTGAACTTATCAAGTATTTTTAGCAAGGTGGTTAGAAGGTCGAAGTGAATAGATGGCTGAGATTGAGTCTAATAGTATGTGTATGCATCATAAGGGTTGGTTATGTACTTTAATTTTTAAAGTAAAAGTTCGAGGAGTTTATATTTTATTGGCAAAAGAATTCATAACAAGGACTTAGGTTGTGGTTCTCTCATTAAGGTTGGGGAATTGGAATTTCTTGCACAAAACATATGTTTGTTTGGAGTGTTAAAATCTCACATAGGGCACTGGGAATATTTGTATATAGCATTAAACATAGTATGAATGTTACTATAAATCTGTAAAGGATAAGAGTGCTATTTTTTTTTTTTCATGTTGCCCTGTGAATGTAGAAAAGAGTGCTCCACGAGCTGTCAGAGAAATCGATAGACAAATTCACAGCCCTATAGAAATCCTACATCCTATAGAAATCCTACATGATTAGGGTTAAGATTGGGTAAGAAGATAGAATGTATTAGGACGTTTCTCAGAATTTTTCTCTAGGGTTCATAACTACAATGTGCTATAAACAAGAGGATGTTACTCTAGAAATCAATTTTCCATTTACCATTCCTCTATGAGAAAAAACTTATGGTTTTAGTTGACTGTCATGACTTCAAAATATATGAAACAGAATTATTTTATGAGCTATTTCCATTTATATTTTAACTTTAGTTGTGGGTTTCTGGTAAAATACTTCAGAAATTCTTTGATGCAATGTAAGTTCATATACTTCTTTTTTAATGGGCTCCAAATTCATTTAATTAGTGTAGACAAAAAATTAAAATGCAATAAAACATGTGACCTTCTAGAAATCAACACTATGCGTGGATGATTGATTTGAAACCAAACCAGCCGTTCGATTGTATATAATTCATTCATCTGTTGGATTGTAATTCATTCAAATGGGGGGCCTTTTTGGCCTTTTGAAGGATAAAAGTAAATGAGAATGAAGAGAAGAGGTACGTAGGGCCAATCATGCTTTCATTGAGATTCGAACTCAAGACCTCCCGCTTACTAAACGGGTGCTCTAACCAACTGAGCTATGAAAGCTTGTTATTCTTATATTGGGCTCGCTATCCCAAAACCATGTAAAACCCTCGAAGCCAAAACACTATTTTCTCCTTTGGGAGCATAAGATTATGAATTTCAGAGTATCCTTAGCTTCATAATGTGTTTTAAAATCCAAGTGACTGTATCATCGTAGGTTCGAGCAGACCCATCCTGATCGTTGATCAAGGGCTTAATGATCGTTTGTAGTGGACATTGGTCTAAAAAAGTTTGAATAATATTTTTAATTTGAAAAATAGGAAATAGAAAAAATAAAAAATTAAATTTAGTGAAATTGTGCGATGCAGTCATTCCAGATCACCTGATTCCTAGACATACTCACTTGGTTCTCTGATAGAATTGGATGAGTATGTCAAAATTAGATTGATTCTCTGTTCCAACTAGAAACGAGGTTCATCCACACCTATTTCCAAGCCGAATTGCTGATTCTCGACCTGTCATTTCGAATAACGACCTCAGTGGTAAACTGCCTCATGAGTGGATCATAAATGCAAGTTGTGGTCCACTAACCCTTTTGTTTGCATCTCAATCACCTTGATCACCTCTTTCCCACAATAATTTGGGTATTTTTGTTTCATCCTATTGTGGGAAATAATTCCTAATCAGAGAAAATTCTTAATTAGATAGAGATGCGCCTTATGTCTAGTAATTAGTGGAATAAGTTAGAAATTGATGTTTTTCCTTTAGGTGGGAAGGGTTAGAACAGTCACTCCTCTTGTGTCATTAATGGAAGAATTCGGAATCAAGTTTCATCTTATAGGTGGGATTGAGAAGGCTTTCAGTTTGAGAATCATCTCATATGTAAACAAAAAATGTTTGAGAAACAACATTAAAACAATATTTTTGGATGGATTTTTTTAGGTGCATCTGTTTATTTTCATATATATATATATATATATAAAAATGGTATTAAGTGCGATCTCAGAAGTGCTTTGTAGGTATGGAGTAGTTTTAGGGTCAGCCTAGATAAGGTTACACTACTTTTCTTGTCAATATTATCGTGCCAACTTTGAGAAAAATGCAGCCTTCACTTAGCCACATGGAGCACGTTATGCCCTTAGATAAAGTGGGTGGGGCCACCTTTAAGAATCGAACGGTCTTGATTAGTTAATGTCAAAATTTTGGAAAAGGCAAAGGGAGAAGTGTCATTTTTCAAAATGGCAAAGGGAAAGTGTCATTTTTCAAAAAAAAGCTGAAGAATTTCGGCTCCTGACTTTTCCTTAACGATTCAAAAACCAGTTTGATGTGCCATTTGATGGGCAATTGGGAATTTGATGAAAACAAGAAGGAAATAGTTTATATATAGCCGAGGCTCTAAACAATCAAATTAGAGCCTACCTAAAAATTTCACTAGAAGAGGTTGTTTTGATGCCCAAATATCTTCAAATTGATCATCTTGATATCAAGATGTATAGAGATGAGAAAAAAATGGATTTCAAGGTTTGGAAATAGTGTATCTTGTAACGTATTTTTAGACTGTCAATTTTGAAGATTTTCAAGTTTTTGTAGTCTGCTCTATGTACATTATTTTTGAAGCTTTAAATTTTATAATTAATGATTAAAATATATTTTAAGGCTATCACAAAGATTTTTAATATTAAAACCATATTTCTCTATACTATTTAAAAGTAGGCTCTAATTTGATTGTTTTGAGCCTTGACTCTATACAAACGGCACCCCAACAACAATAGGCTAGTTGAAATTAGATCTATAAATTTAGGATAAAAGATAGTACAAATAATAAGTATAAATTATAATTCATCATCATTTGAGCATGCTATTTGAGGTGGCTAAATATAATATAAATTATAATTGCGGTTTGATTAAAATTTTCAAAAAAAGGTTGGAGAATTTTGGCTCCTAACTTTCCTTAATGCTTAAAAACCTAGTTTGATGTGCCATTTGATGGGCCGTTTAAAATTTGATAAAAAAAACAAAATTCTAATTGAAATTAGATCTAAAAAATATGGATAGGATAAGATAGTACAAATAATAAATGTGAACATATTTCATCATGAGCTTTGTCGTGCTATTTGAAGTTGACTAATTTCATAATTGTGGTTTACAATTTTGTTCAAAAAGTAAAGATTTAGTCATTTTAAGGAAAACGAAAGTTGAAGCCTTGGTCATGTTAGGTTATATTCCGATACAGGCAAAAATTCAATGGACTTGGTTAAATGTGGATTAGAATGTAGTTAAAAAGCTTGGATGAAAGTTGAACGACAAGGTAGAGAGAAGAAGATAATAAGCATCACCTAAGTGAAAATGGGCCCAAATTTTCTTAAATTTTCATAAAATTTGAATTTGAAAATTGAAGTTTCAAACTAGACTCCTCACTTTTTATCCATATTTAATTGAAAATTGCAAATCAGATGGCAGTTCAATTTTATGAAAATCCACCTAAATAAAATACGGCTTGAACAGGATGAGCTCTAAACGTTGTATATCTATTTGCACGAGGGTTTTGAAACCCCAAAATCTGAATCAAGACTCATATCTGGATTGGATTTGGTTGGTGGGTGATCTTGGTCCTCCACCCTCCAAAATTGCCTGGTATCCTTATTTTATTAATTTATTTCAACGAAATTTTGACGATTTAGTTAGTTCAAATTGCTGATATGGACGATCTAGATCCCGTACAAGGAGTGGACGATCCAAAAGCCGTTCTATCCTAGTTTGAAATCGACAATGTAGACATGGGTTAAAATAGAGCAGGAGAAAACCTTAGCCGGAATCGAAAATGAAAAAGGAAAAAGAATCTAGTTTTTGTCACCTATCATGAAGAAGAAAAGATGATAAGACTGGAAACCATCCTAATTCATAAACCTACATGGGCAGACTACTTTGACTATATTATTTATTCATTTAAAGAAATGCTTGATTGTCCTTACTCTTCTGCGTAATACCAAAGTTCCCCTGTGGCCTGATACGCGCTTGTTGCCTTTGTCTATTTCAACTCTCTTGATAACCCACATATAAGTTAAAGTCCTTCATTTAAAAAATGCCGGCTCGGCATGGAATTGTCGGGTCCAATTTGGGAATCAGTCACCCCGTGTTGATTCTATTAATATATAGAAAATTGTCCACTTCTAGAAGAGAATTGATGATTTACTATAGAAAAACGTTATTTTATTATAGTAAAAACGTCGTTTTGCTACAGTAAAAACACTGATTTACCAATCCGGACTGGTTTTTTGCTGGTTCACTATTTTTGCACATGTTTTTTGCAGGTTCATTATTTTTGAACATGTTTTTTGCCGGACTGGTTTTTGGCCGGTTCACTATTTTTGCACATGTTTTTGCCGGTTCATTTTTTTTTGCATAACAAAATAGCCATCCGGATTGCTAATTCATTGATCTAGACCGATTTTTGCGATGCCCGATCCAGGTCACCGATCTATTTTTTAAATCACTAATTAGAGTACAAGCTGTAAACCTTAAGTAATCAAATTAACGCATGCCTTTAAATTTCATAACTAGGTGTGAAAAAATGTTTTTAAGGTCTGAAAAACAGTGTAGATCAAGCAGATCTATAAACACTAACAAATTTTGAAAATAGACATATCAGATAATATGATATACTATTTTTAAAACTTGAAATACTTTTTTTTTCGATATCTATATATCTTGAGGCATAGGTGATCTATTGAAGGGTTATTTGACACGGGAACAACCACTTTGAGTAAGTTTTTAAGGTGCCCCTTACGTATATACCTTGTATAATTCTTTTATAGTATGAGTTTGATACCTTATATACTTTTTTTTCTAAATTGAATGCATTTGTGAAGTTTATTCTTTTGTGAAGGAATTCTCAACCGTTGTAATTTACAATGGCCAAGGAGTTATGATACTAATAGAAATCAGGTTTTTTTTGTTTTTTTTTTTCTTTTTTTTTAATTTTTAGAAAAAATTATTTGAGATTTTAGTTTTTTTTTTGAAGTTATTATTGTCTTATTTAATTGTAGAGAATTAAAAAGTAGAATAATAAATTATTTATCGGAGTTGGTTATGACATATTTTTGTGAGGACATAGTTTCTGTTTTTGATAAGCATCATGAAAAGGAAAAAGAAAGAAAGAGATAAAAAAGAGATTGGAATTGAGTACAGAATTT